GGTTAAGCAACGTCGAGTCTGTTAGTACCCAGAAAGGTGACTGCTTCGGAATACCAGTTTCTATAGGCTTAGATGTGTACTTGGTGTAATGGGTAACGGCTCGAAATGTGAAATCAGAGAGCCGAGTTCAATTTGAGTTACAGTCGGGTTTGTTATATTCTCTCACACGCAAATACCCTTTGGAAAGGTATGAATCCAATGTTTCTCTATTCCAGCTATAGGTTTTTCAAATAGTACAACTTGTATTTGAAAATCATTATTATCCACAAATATTCACTCACAAAAATATTCTTACAATCAAAAAATGTTTCGGCTTTAAATAACCTACAAAGTGTTGATAAGCCATAAAAAGAAAGCAAAAACAACACCTCTTTGTGTTTTTTTTTTTTTTTTTTTTCTCTCTCTTTCTCTCTCTACCGCTCTCTCCCCTATATCTTATTCATGTTTTTCCACGACTTCCTCTCCTTCAGGAATGCTTGCCCTTTACAACCCCTCTTTGATTTTGTGGCACTTGTTCCCTTATCGATTTGCTCAAACATACTAAGTTGTTTACACTCTTATTTCCTATTTTTTCTCGATTTCGATGCTACATGTGAGTATCGAATTCTCCAAACATTCATTCCTCGCGATATATCCCCCTCCAAATCATATATTCCGATTCTCTTCTTAACTTCCTAATTTATCACATGATTATTTATGATATCCTTTAGGAAAAATCACATTTCTGGCGCTTGAAATGTGTTCTTCATTTCTGATAAAATTATTCAGCCTTCATACAAGAAATTAGTGCATAGCCCTCTTCGTTTCGAATGTCGTTTTCGATACTTTCGATCAGTCCTCAATTTGTGAAAAAAAATTCCGCTATTTCTATACACTTTTTGAATACATAGTAGAAAAACTTTTTTATTTTTTTTTTTTAAATCTAAGAAATTTTGCACACGTCTAATAAAAGTTGCTACTCAAAAATCCGATGAATTTAACCATAAAATATTACTCTAACTCTTAGCTTTGACTTTAATACAAAATAGTTAATGTGCTACTCATAAACAGTAACGGCATAAATCCATACTGTATTCGGTTTGGAAAATGAAAGCAAAAGGGATCAGTCAATTATGTGCCATGCGTGATACACGCTTAGGCGATCATGTATTTTTTTTATACGTGACTGACGAGGCAGATTTTTTCCCGCAGTACATTGCCATTTCTTTCTGCATTAGACTAGTTGCCATTCAAGGCTAGAGAACCTGGTCTATCCCTTTATTTACCCATAGCTGGGGGGAGAAGAAAAAGATTCATACCTTTCCCAGAGTTATAGCACGTAAGTGAATGTAATGGATTCGACTGGAAAGAGAAACAGGAATTAAAATTGCTGGGGCAATGATGAGGAAAGACGGCTTGGAGAATTTTACACTCAAAGGACATACTGACGGCAAGAAGGGCTGATTGATTGATTGATATATTGATTTGTTTTTACGGCTTATAAGTTAATGTTTTTGTAGGTTATTTAAAGCCAGGTATTATATCTTGGGATTATAATATATATATATATATATATATATATATATATATATATATATATATATATAGATAGATAGATAGATAACATTGATTTCCTGATACAAGTCCTTAGTAGCTGAGGGGGGGGCGTGAAGAGATGGATTCATACATTGTGCATAAGTGAATATAACGAACCCGACTGGAATTAGGACTCGTCTCTCCGATTTTTCATTTCGACTCGTTATCCATTACACAATCTGCACATACAAACTTACAGCACCTGGTATTTCCAAGCGGTTACCTATCTCGGTACTGACAACACTTGATGTTGCTTAACTTCCTGTAAGAAGCTTTTATAAATGAATGACAGAAGAGCTACAAAGGGTAGGAAGTTGTGGAGAGCCATGGTTGAAGAAACACGGTAGATAATAAAATAAGATGCGATTCTCCTAATTTTGGAATCACACTCCCTACTAATCTTTTCGGACTGGAAACGTATTGCTGAGAACGACAAACTATTAAAAAAAAAGCCATGAATGTCCACATCCTGAAGGAACAGCGTTGAGAAATCCTCATCTTGGTTGTTAAAATGCCCGTATCAGCCATGATGGGGACATTAATTTGATTAGATGAATGTATAATAATTAGCATTAATCGATTTTATCCTGATCTTTCTGATTCCCTCCTCTCTTTGCTACTTTCTTTCTCTCTCTCTCCTAGTTCACTTTCCTTCTCTTTTTTCTTATCCTTTCTCTCCACCTTTCTCCGTCTTACTTCTCTCTCTCTCTCTCTCCCTATCTATCTATCTCCTACTTCCCTCCAACTCCTCACTCTTATACTTAGTCTCTCTATCCAATACCGTTTTCGTCTACTCCTTTTCATCTTTTACTCCCTATTCTTTTCTCTCCTACTCCTGTCTCTTTCCTACTCCTTCCTCGCCTATTCCTTTTTCTTCTCACTCCTCTTTCACAAGTACCCTTTTAAAGAATGCACATCTAGCTGAGCTTTACTGGGTCGTGACGCTCTCTGTGCCCGACCGGTGTCAATCATGCCAGATCAGTCGGCGGTTTTCCCTACAAAGTCAGCCGCAAGTTCAAACCCTGCCGGAGAGCACATTTTTCTTTATTAAGTCTCTCGAATGCACAGACCAGTAGACGTAATTCACAAACAGTTGCTGGATTGCTACGTGTTATCCATATATATGATAGTGAATGCTGGACAATCACCTCACGGATGAAGAAAAAACTGGAGAGCAGCAAAAATGTGGTTATACAGAAGGATACTGAGAATTCCATGGGTGGAGTAAGTAAGCAATGAGGGAAGTCTTAAAGAAAATGGTAGCGGAAAGGACAGTTATGCTCAGAATCAGAAAAAAAGATTCCTTGGACACTTAATAATGAAAGAGGGCTTGGAAAACTTAACCCTCAAGGGTGATATTGAGAGCAAGAGAAGATAGGGGAAACCAGCGAACCACTTACCCGATCTCATATTAACATGTTATATTAACTTTTACTGTGCATAGACGAGGACAGTAGAAGGAGATCTATCTACCCCGTATAAGAGGATGGATATCACATAGCAATCATATAAGAGGATGGATATCACATAGCAATCATATAAGAGGATCGATATTACATAACAATCATATAAGAGGATTTATATCACATAGCAATCATATAAGAGGATGGGTATCACATAGCAATCATATAAGAGGATGGATATCACATAGCAATCATATAAGAGGATGGATATCACATAGCAATCATTTATGAGGATGGATATCAAATAGCAATCATATAAGAGGATCGATATTACATAGCAATCATATAAGAGGATGGATATCACATAGCAATCATATAAGAGGATGGATATCACATAGCAATCATATAAGAGGATGGATATCACATAGCAATCATATAAGAGGATGGGTATCACATAGCAATCATATAAGAGGATGGATATCAAATAGCAATCATATAAGAGGATGGATATCACATAGCAATCATATAAGAGGATGGATATCAAATAGCAATCATATAAGAGGATGGGTATCACATAGCAATCATATAAGGGGATGGATATCAAATAGCAATCATATAAGAGGATGGATATCACATAGCAATCATATAAGAGGATTTATATCACATAGCAATCATATAAGAGGATGGATATCACATAGTAATCATATAAGAGAATGGATATCACATAGCAATCTAGCAGTTTTCTTCAAGTAACACACATTAAAATAGAGCCGAGACGTTTACTATTAAATACTCGTGCGTATTGTGGTGTTTAATATTACGTCCGCAAAACAAATTATATTTCTGGATTATAAACATTCTGGATTTACACTTTCTTTTCCTTTCCTTTTTCTTTGTGAATGAGTTGAATATTTTTACAAGGTCAAATTTTCACCCTCTTCAACTTTCAACTTGAAAAACCTTTCGATTAACTCAATATTGAATAAATCATTTTATTATTTAACATGTTAAGATGAGCAGGTAAATGGTTCACTGGCTTCCTTTATCTCTTTTGCCTTCATTATGCCCCGTGAGAATTACGTTTTCCAAGCCCTCCATAATCATTATGTGTCCAAGGAATTTCAGCTGTCTTTTTTTTTCTGATTCTGAGTATAACTGTCCTTTTTGTTACCATTTTCTTTAAGACTTCCTTGTCGCTTACTCGCTCCATCCATCTTATTATATGCCCCAGAAACCTCAACTGTTTCCTTCTGGTATTAAGTATTAGTTTCCATTTTGTCTCTATTTTCTCCAAAACTTCGTCGTTGCTCATATTTTTGGTTCACGGTATCCTCAGCAGCCTTCTGTAGAACCACATTTCTATTGCTTCAAGTCCTCCTCTTCATCTTTGAAGAGATCGTCCAACACTTACTGGCATACTATTACTAGATAGATAGATAGATAGATAGATAGATAGATAGATAGATAGATAATGAACAGACTGAGATAGATAGATAGATAGATAGATAGATAGATAGATAGATAGATAGATAGATAGATCCTGCAAAAGTTTCGAAACGCTACGCAAAATCATGAAAACATTTTTTTGATGATGTTTTTTAATTAAAATGTTAATTTCTTTTACTGTGTGCCAAAACATACTAATTAAAAAATATGATTAATTCTATGAAAACAGACATATTTATTTTTTTAAAGAAATAAAGGCAGTTGGACAGAAAAAGAGAAAAAACTTGTAATTTGGAATCACCATAAATAACAATTTTCAAACACGCTCCTTCTTCTTTTCACGCGATTCTGTGTAATCATATCTTTTTTCTAATGGAATATATATATATATATATATATATATATATATATATATATATATATATATATATATATATATATATATATATATATATATATATATATATATATACCTCTCTCACCCTTTCACTGTCGAAATTACTAAATGTAGCCGTCTCTTCTACTTCAATAGCTTCATGTCTCGCACCTCTCGCCTGTGGAACTCTCTTCCCTATTCCTGATTCCCTGAGAGCTATAATCTCCAACTATTCAAATGTAATGTCAATCGACATCTCTAGTTGTCTTGATGTATCCACTATCCTTCTTCTCATCCTTTCCTCTATCACTCCTATCTGATCTTGCTCCAAATCTTCTGTAACCCCTTGCGTCTTAGTGGCTTCCCGCCTTGCTTGGGGTGAAACGCTTATATATATATATATATATATATATATATATATATATATATATATATATATATATAGTGCAAAATCGGTTCTCGAACGTCTCACATGGCGAACAAATCGGCTTTCGAACAGAAAATTCGAAATGAAAATGCCTCGGTTATAGAACATTGCCAAACCGAATTAAGCCGAATGGAATCATTTCTGAGTTGACCACCGTGTTGCATGCATTCGTATGTGGTGTTGTGCTTTTCTTTTCCAATTTTATTGTACTGTGACTTTTTTCTCTACATTGATTCTTATTGGAAAAATAGTTTCGATTTACGAACATTTCAGGGTTACGAACGGCCTGCACGAACGAATTAAATCCGTAAACCGAGACCGCACTGTATATATATATATATATATATATATATATATATATATATATATATATATATCATATATCATAAACGTAACTTTTAGTGGATGCCCATATTTGACTAGACGCTCTGTTTTTTTAATATGTTTAAACAGAATATTTATTATCATCTACACGACTAAGTATTCGAGAAATCATTTTAAACAAACTATCTAAAATATGTCTCCGTCTACTAAAATATGGGTATTCGCTAAAAAATAACGCTTAAGTGATAAAAATCTGTCAGATTAATAAATAAAAGATCCATGATTTTTTTATATATATGACTAACCTAGAAAATAACGTATTTAATACTGCAAAAAACTCCATTTACCTAAGATATGTAGATGACATTCTTATTTTAGTCAAAAACATAGACGCAATATATGAACTTAACAACGACAATGAAATCTCGTTTCTTGATGTATTAATAGACACTAATAATAACATATTTACTACCTCGCCATATAAAAAAAACTAGCATAGACACGCGTACTCTCAACTATAATAGTGAATGTCCTTACTATTACAAAGTAGATATAATACGAAACTTAATAAACCGTGCAAAAGTAAACTCTTCAGCAAGAAAAAATGCTATACTAAATTAAAAAATCTTAAACAAACCCTCATTAATAATGACTTTCCTAATTACATCGTTGATAAACAAATTAGACGAGCTATTGGGAATATTAACATAAATAAGAATGAACATAATACGTCCTCAAATAACTCTAAACATATCAAACTACAATACAGTAATCAAATGCATTCTAACTATAAGCAGGAGAACAAAGACTCATAAGCACTAATATATCCACCACTCAAAATTAATTATATATTATACTAAATTTAATACAACCAATCTAGTTTCCATAACAACTCTTCGCTGTCAACTAGCGCCTTACAAAAGGCCAACATCTTTTGCATTTTAAATGTCTTTTGGGAGATTGCATCGTTGATAAAAATGTTAATATGTATGTTAACTTTACAACAACGACGATGAGGAGAAGGCTTCCGTTTCATTGAACGATCATAGTTCAATCTCAGAACATTTAAAGGCACACTCATGTCCACATTCACGGATATTAGTCAATAATACATAGGTGTTCTATCAAGATGATAATAAACAAAAATTAAAATTCTGGATGCCTTTTATACAATAGAATTGCCGTCAAAATAAATAAAGTTAATTACGAGTATAGCAACAAAGTTAAATGTTTGTAGCAGCAAAGTATTGTGTATGCAACTCCTGAAGATGGTCTCAGTTGAGATTAAAAGTACTTCGGAAAATCAAAATTATTTGAAAGTAAATTTCAGAATTTTTCTTAATCAATTATCTACAGCTACCAAGAAATTAATTTGTGGACATGAAGGGATTAAAACTAAAATCGACATAATAGTCTAAATTATTTAACCAAACATGCTTGAATGAAAATATGTTACCTATATATATATATATATATATATATATATAGGGTTATATATATAAGGGTGTTTCATTAAAACGGATCAAAGTCAGCAGTAAATAAATCAGTGTTATTGGTGAAAATTTCTCTATTGAATCATGTTATTTAAGCAATGCCAATTATATGTAAAAAAGATATCGACCAAAACGTCCGCCAAATCTGAAAGAAAAAGAAAAAAATCATTAGACGCTTAAACTCATTTCCCATTTAAAATCGGTCCAAATTATTGGAACACCTTTTACATACATACATATATATATATATATATATATATATATATATATATATATATATATATATATATATTGAACAATAAAAAAATATTAAAAAATTAAAATCTTCAGACACAATGGGTTGTAGATTAATATTCTTTCGTTTTTTTTTTATTATTATTTCATTTAGATTCCTCGACTAGTTTCGGCCAAAATGGCCATCATCAGGAGAAGAAATATTTCTGTTTGCTGGTAGCA